ACAACTGTTTTCCTAATCAGCAGGGTTATAATGTAGAGTGCCAGGATTGTTTAAAAAAAAAAAAAAAGAGTGTGTGTGTGTGTGTGTAGGTTTCAGGTTCAGTGTGTCAATTATGGTCATTTGACATGCCAAAAATAGAATTCTGCTTTCCAAGTTTGCTTTTGTATGTAGTGAACTGGGTTGGGTAGTATAGGAGGTCACTGTGTTTGTTTACTGTCTGCTCAGGCTGTTGACTTTATGCTTTTGTTTGTCAGATGCTCTGAGAGTTGTCTTGCAGTGGCTTCTCTCAAGCTCTAACATTTAAATGTCTAGTGCTAAGAAATGCCTCAAGGCTGTTTGTAAAGAATCAGTAATTGAAGCATTAGCTATAGCCAAGTTTTTCTTTATGTGTCTTAAATATAATTTTCCTCATAACCATGACTGTCCCTTTCTATGCCCCCATTAGAGTTGTTATATTAATAACCAAAAGCCATGGACTTGAGATCGAATGTGGCTCGATATGTGCACATGTAAGAACATGTATGCTTCAGAAATAAATAAGGGTGTTCTATGCTATATTGTCTATAGTATATGTTCTGACGTAAGTGGAAAATTTTGCCCTTAAAATTGCTTTTAGGCTAGATTACTCTTTGAGGTGAAGGTAGAACACCTTCTTAAATATCAATTTTTCTAGGTAATGGAGTCACTTCTGTACAATTAAATGGTGAAAGAGAGGAATCTCCACAGCACCAGGATGAAGCTAGAGACACTAATTTTTTAAGGAAAGAAAAGAAGGAAGTCCTGGTAGGTATTTAAGCTTCTAGGTGTTAATTTTTAAATTTCCTTGACTGTTTTGCATGCACAAGGACAAGGATTAGGTACACTGTTTAGTATAGAAATTGTGCTGGATGGCATCTTGTTTATTTTGAGTCAAAGCACAATTTTCCTAGGTTGTCTAGCTGTCTTTAGCTGAAGTTTGAGTCCGTGTTTAATTTTCCTTATAAACTAACATAATCATGGCTATATACAATTTACTTCCTTATATTCACTTACCTGAGAGATGTAATGACAGCTACATCCTGTGAGAGAGCTGTAATGTATTGTACTGAGCAATGATTGTTAAAACAAATGAGGAAGTGAGGGAATGGAATATGCTGTTCATGATGGCTTGCTGGAGGATTTGACTGGCCCTGGCAAAGGAGCTGACTCAGGGCTGTTCCCCAAATGAGTCTTCCTCCTGTCCTAGCTGTAGGCATACAGGTGCTTAGGGGCAAAAAAGATGGTGAAATGTAGATTGAGGGTCTAGATGTGCAAGCTGTTTGCTTACTGGCCTCTGGAGCTCCAGGTTTCAGGGCTTAGTAGCCTGTAGCTAGTAGATTTGAACTACTTGTACTCATATGAAGTTGCACTCATGGAGAGAATGCAGTTTTACACCAGGTGTAATCTGACCCAGCTGTGAGCTGTGGAAAGGGTCCTTTTCCTGCATTCCTTTCTCCTTTTCCCGGTAAGTTTTTCCATCAAGTCAACAAATGGCTTCCAGGGTGATCACTCTATAGCTATGATACAAAAGCAAAAGTGGGAGTGAGAGAGTAGGATGTCTCTAGATGAGAGGTAACATAAAACTGCACTCTTTGGGGGGCCTCTTCTAAGGGTGAGGCTGGAAATGTCGCTTTTCTGTGAGAAGTGAAGAGGAAATAGACAAGAAACATTGCATGTGTTTTTGGTTTGTTTTAAGGAAGTGCCAGTAATACTGACAGTGCTTTGGAAACTAGGATAACCTTGAACGGCTTTGAACTTGTCATTTGAAATTGTGTGCTTGAGGATTACTGTGTTACCTGTGAAATACATTTCTTCAGAAGCCTCTTTGCTAGGAGAAATTAATACTGATACAGAAAAGTGCATATTGGTAAAATTTAATGCTGTGGAATTGAACAACTGAGCAATGGCTGCAACATTGCTTAAACTCTGTGGTACTGGATGTGGCATTCTTACAGGCACTATCATCATGTGAAAATGTTGCATAATAGACTATGCAGACATTCAGTGAAGAGATATTATGGAATCATAGTAGAGATTTTAATGAGAGAGAGTGATACTGGTAGTTTGTGGTGTGTGGTCATTAAGAGACAGGTAGTTAGCAAACTCGTACAGAATTGTTGAAGTGTCTGCTAGAACGAGATCTCTAACCTAACCCCGTGCTTGAAAATGGGACTGTAGCCAAAGCTCAGCCGTGGTTTTCAGGTCTAGAACCTATGGTGTTGGACAGTGGAGTGTCCCTGTAGATGCCCAGTGGAGTGCTATTAGTGTAGTGTAGAAATACACAGCACAGCTCTATTGTCTTAAAAATCTGCAGGGAAGGTTTTGTATCTATTTCTTATGTAGGTATAAGTATTGGCTTTTCATTTCCCCCAATGTAATTATGCTTAATTATGTATTAAGTCCTGTTGAAAGCATTCTAAAAATTTTTTTACTTGTATTTTGGTTGTTTTGTGTGAGGGGAGAATGTGCGTGTTTATATGTAGTGTGCATGGGAGTGTAAACATACTTTTAAAACTTTATTTTCTAGAAACCAATTAGTAATGGCCTTCCTCCCACACCTAAAGTACATGTGAGTATTTCTGAGTCATACAGATGCATGCTGGAAGCAGGAAGCATTTTCTTACTGAAGCTGAGAGTATGTTTTTTGAATGACTGTAGTAGTGTGTTTTTAAATTTTAAATTAAAATTATATTTTAATTATAAAAGTTAACATCACTTGGATAAAACAGTGGCTAAGCCACTGGCATGGTATTTTAGACATGACCCTTGATGGTGTGCACTTGAGTTTTTGTTTGCTTGTTTGGTTGAAAAAGTAAATGGTAGTTCTGTGACTAGTGTCACACAAGTGCTTTGAGCATACTGAAATTACTACTGATCTAAGGAGCTGATTTCTCTCAGGATATGCAAATAGCTCAAAGTTTATGCTATGCAGCTCCAGGGTGCAGAACATAGGAAGTTAGAATTCATAGATGCCTTTGGGCTGGAAGTAGCTGTTACAGATACCTATGTGCAGCTTCAAAGCATAAAGCAAACTAGAATCTACGTTTAGTGTCTGTGTAGACTTGTCACTGTGCTTTTAGCTAGCACAGCGATCAGAAAAGCTTTCCTTTGTCTTGGCCATGTGTTTCTGCCTTCACCACTGTCCTCCGTGTGTGCTGGGCAATGCGTTCGTGTAGTTGTGATATGCACCACAAGGGGCTATTCATCCAATTTTAAACTCACTTTGTCAGCTTGTTGTCTGGATGAGGTTATTTCCCACACAGCAGCTCTTAAATTTAGTTACTACTTGAAGTAAAAATAATAATCCTATTAGAAATGTCACATTTTAATTCTTCATATGTGTATATTTAATTGTTTTTCCTTCTGCAGATGGGTGCTTGCTTTTCAAAGGTTTTCAATGGCTGTCCATTAAAAATTCATTGTGCAACATCATGGATAAATCCAGATACAAGAGGTACTATTTGAGGAGTATTTTACCGATTTTTGTTCTCTGCTTGGATTTCAAGAGTGTTTAGATAAGCAAGACTATGCCTTTTAAAATAGACATATATAAAGCAGAAGTTCTTTAACTATGCCACTGCTGTCTGAACTTCAGTGTTTTTAATTAAGATATATTGTATGCAGTTTTCCACTTTGATTAAAAAGAATAAATTACATATCAAAGTTAAAGACTCTTTGCAACATTTTAGTCCAAAAGATGCCAATCCTAATTTATTTTTTTTACAAATCTGACTTTTGGAAGTACTTTTTTGAGACTGATTTCTTTACCGTTCACTTGATTTTTTTTTTTTTTCTTTCTTTAAATCTTTCTGGTCCTACAGGATCCTGCAACTGTTTATTTTTCCACACATTCTAGTGCTTTATTATCTAGCCTGATGAAAGAGATGATTGGGAACATCATACTTGTTTTGCCTGCAGTTTCACCTTTTGATTATAAGCTGTACAGACATGCTGCTGAGCTAGTCAGCAAGAAAATACTTAGGATTTTTTTTATACACTGAAATCATGGAAGTCAATCTTTTACAGCTGACATATCAATAAGAGATGTCTGTCCTGTTTGCATGCCTAAATGCAACCCAGGGTTTTAATTATGTTCAAGCAGTGAGGCACCCACAAAGTGCTGAGGAAAAGTTCTGGTCAATACTGCTGCAGAAGTACTCCAGAGAGGGCAATGAATATGTCACAATATATGGAAATGTCTAAGTAGGATATGTGGATATTATTTATATGAATTCTTGCCTATGTTTTTTTATTCCAATTTAGTCATGAAAAAGAAAAGGTTGATCTTTCCTAATGTCTTAAAACAGCCTCATCCATAAATATAAGCTTTCTAAACAAGATTCTTTTTCCATGCTTTCAAACACCCTAACTATTACAGTTGGTTTTGTTTCAATGTGTCTAATTGTTTCAAGTCCTTTCTTGGTAAAGAACTGCATACATGCCTTGCTGGAATCAGGATTTCTAGCTTGCTTTTGTTTGTGTGTGCAGATCAGTACTTGATATTTGGTGCAGAAGAAGGCATTTACACGCTGAACCTCAATGAGCTTCATGAAACATCAATGGAGCAGGTATATTTCTGGTTTGATGTTGTTGTGAAAAATGCATCTCTATCCTTTTTTAACCATTCAGATTAATTTTGTGTAATCCTTGCGAAAATGGTTTTTACTCCATTTACATAGGCACCAGGTACACTTAAGAATTGCCTTAAATGTTTGCTGCTGAGGATACCTTTCAGTCATGTTTAAGTGTTGTGTGGGCTGAACCATGTTTAGGTAGGAGATGTTCATCTGTCAGTGTTTTGAACTTCATCATAGTGCACTGTTCTGCAGTTAAATGGTTAGGTAAATTGTATGGAATTTTCCTGATATATTTGGGATCAAAGCTTCTATTTTCCATAGAGCTTTGTTACAATACAGAATTTTTGCAACAAAGATGATATTTCAGCTACAGGGAAGCAAGGAGATCCTTTATACACTAGGTTCCATTCATTTGGTCCTAAAAGCAGCTTTGCTGATGAAACGCAGCTTTGCTGATGAAACTCAGCTTACTGAGTCCTACCTAAAACTCCGTCTTTGCAGGATCTTAGAAATAGTAATTTTTTTGAGGAGATACTAGGGAGGGGGAGGATTCCAATTGCAGGCTTTTCTGTGTGGTATCGTCTTCACCTCTTTTGTTGCTCTCCAAGAGACTTGTTTTCTTTCCTGCCTTATCCCTAACTTAGGGACCTGTCCATCTGCCATCAAGAGGGTGGAGTTTGCAAGGACAGCCTTCACACTGTAAGCTGGAGGCACTGATGTTTGTTTATCTTTCAGGGTCCAGACGTTGTAGATGTGTCTCTTTTGTTGAGAGGGAGGCCTAGCTAGCTTGAACAGAGCTCCATGTAACCCATAATCATACTGGTGCTTGAGTTACCCTGTTTAAGCTTAGCTCAGGTACACTGGTGCTGCTGCACTGCAGTTGTAAAACCTATGCTGAGAAATACCACTAATACAATAATTTTTGTAGGCCATGGAGACTAAGGAAAGATTTGTTTGGGTTTTTTTTCTTTGAGGTTTGCAATTTGGTTTGATTTTGGTTTTCAGTTAGTAAGGAAGGAGAACATGTAATGCTGGTTAGTAGTGTGTGCCTAGTGAGCTTTTAAGGAAATGCTTGAATAAGCATTTAGAGACAAGAAGAGATGCTTGCTAAAACAGCCAGTCGTGTGTGGAACAAGAGGAATGAGTGGCAGGTCAATTAACGTACTGATTTGAAGAATCACTGTTCTTTGATCCGCAGATTCAAACCTACTAAGTCACAATACACTTAGGCACCTACAGAAGGTCAATCTTTAAACGTTAAATCCTTGATGTAAGCAGCCTGGTAGAATATTACCATAGGTGTTTCCTACAGCATGTTTAGGTTATGAGTAGACTTCAGGGCTAAAATGCACGCTCTGTGCTAATCATTGACTACATCATTGTTTATGGTGATAGTCAGTAAGGCTTTAATAGTATTTCCAAGTTTAGTGTTTCATGTCATTGTTTGTTCTCAGTCTGATATAACTCAGTGTAAAAGCAAAAGTAGTATACTTAGTTATTTTTCACTACATTCTACTTCACCAGTGGACAAAGTGGAAATAATACACATTTCTAGGAGTTAGCATAGCTTCAAGGATAATATCTTCATATTTTTTTGTTTTCTTTTGGGGTTTGGTTGGGTTTTTTCGTTGGGTTTTTTTTTTGATAGCAAAAGAATTGTCCTCTTGTCTAGCCCAATAGACACTTTTCCAAAGTGGCAGTAGGAAATGCCCATGAGCTTGGTCGCTGTCTGCTGTCTGTTCTCCTCAGCCTCCAGTACAGTCATTAAATTAGGGATGTTGAAGGACCCCTGCCGATTTTCTTTCTATGTCCATTTTTGGACCTGTTGGACATGAGTGTGTCTAATCCCTTGTTCACACTGTCGATACTTTCCACCTCTGTGACTTCTTGTGCCAGTAAGCTCCAGAAGTTAGGTGGTTGGTTAGTTGGGTTTTTTTTAAGGCATTTCTTCTTACTTTTACCCCCATTTTTCTAGTAATTGTGGGATTTGACAAATAACAATTCTGCCTTGACCATTTCATGGATTCGTTGATCCCGGCAGTGAAACATGTAGTTGCAGGCCAAGAATCCCCTTCAAAGTGCCAGTTTTAATAGTTTCAAGAGACTTGGACTATCACAGGCTCTAGAATGGCTGTGGTTTCTTGACCATGCTTTGTTTACTGAAGTTTGTGTTAAGCTTTTCTTCTTTGAAGGAGAAAGCTTGATGGGCTTTAAAATTTTTGGAAAAGGATTGATTGATCTTTATGATGACATCTTGTGGGATAACTATAGTATACTTGAAGACATGAATATAAAATGTGCTAATTATCTAAATGTTAATGCATATGTTAAATAAAGTGTGTGTGCCTAAGATTTACTCTGAATTAACTCTGGAATCCAGGTAAACATTACTTGGCTTAAGCTAATTTCTGCTGCAAAAAGCAGGTCAGTATTGCTTTTGTCCTGTCATCTATGCAGATACTAATTGATTAGTGTTTTGTGCGTATCAAATTGAATACTACTTCTTTGTTTTTCCTTCCCTTTATCAGCTGTTTCCTCGAAGGTGTACGTGGTTATATGTCATGAACAATTGTTTGTTATCAATATCTGGTAAGTTACTGTGCTGTCTTGGAGTGTAGTGCCGGTAAACATTTGTTTTCGTATTTGAAGTGTGGTTTGTTTTCTAATTTCCAGGTAAAGCTTCTCAACTTTATTCACACAATCTGCCAGGACTCTTTGATTATGCAAGGCAAATGCAAAAGTTACCTGTCGCTATTCCAGCACATAAACTCCCTGACCGTATACTTCCCAGGTAAATACAAATCACTGGATATATCAGAATATCTTAATTTTGAGATCTCAGGATATGCTTGTGAAACTCTGGGAATGCCAAATAATGTGGAGCTCTGTTCACAGATTGCAGTGAATAACTCATGTGTGCAGTAATCAGAGGGTTGACTCCCTACATTTCCATGAATCAAGATGTGACTATACTCTTATTAGGGAAATGGATTTTGGTACATCTTACCTTCTTGTCATGAAGCCTCTTGTTTCTGGGCATAGCTCTTCTTAGGTCTAGTCTAGTGTGGTAAATCCTTGTTGTAGAAACATAGAAATGGTGATCTTACATTAGGTACTCTAGGCAATATCTTTCCATTCTATTAAAAAACTGTGTGGGGATGTGTAATCTCTTACTGCAGAGGAAATGGGCTCATGGGTTATTTTGAAAGCCAGGAAGAGTAGAACTGGAGTACGGATTTGACATTCATCATTTGCTAGTTGTTTTCACAGGCCAGTGTAGAAGATGCTTTTGTTCCCAGGTGCCTGTAGCATGTTGTGCATGCAGTCCCTCCGACTTTATTTACTAACAAGCACGTACAAAATTCCAGACACTGGAATGCAGTTGGTATTGCAGAGGGCTCAGAAAATTTCTTGTCCAGTCATGTCACTTCCCAAGAAAAATGCAGTACAACCTAAAAGTGAGTGCCAAGCCAGTCATTCAGAGCAGGAGAGATTCATTCAGATAACCCATTTTGCTGTTTTATCCCTTGCTCTAAGGCATCAGTGTAGTAACATTTAGCCAGGCACAGGATATATGTTTGAAGTAAGCAGAACAACTTAAAGATGGGGTTTTTTGTCCTTGGCCATAAGGTGTATTCATAAACAAGGTCTTGGATACTGTGAAAAATGAACATATGTACATGAAAAATATGTTGAAATATGTTAAAAGCAAAGGTTTTGGTAGAGAAAATGCAAAGCAAAATAGAATTTGAAGTAGTTTGTGAGATTTGTATATTCATCTGCAAAATAGTCTAAACTCCTTTTACTTGCTAGGCAGAGATTCAGCAGCAGAATATTTGGATGTGATAAGTCTCCTTTCTAGCTCTTTTCCCTGGAGTGCCCTTGACCAGTTCCTTTCAAACTCTCCATGACTTCTTCCAACCAGAATTTGTGACCAGTACTCAGTTTTCATGCTGCTCAGTCCTGCTTCGTTATGAGTCACTTCTGGCCAGTTCCATTTGAAATGCTGTAAAAGTATTTTCCCAAGTCATAGCTTTGAGTGCAACATCTATCTATCACCCCACTTGTTGCCATCTTTTCTACAGCATCAAATGAGTTACTTTTATTGTCAAGACTGCTGTAGCCAGTCTCAGTACTGTCTGTTGTGTTCTAGTCTGTGTAGAAACTCTGATTCTCACTGCCAGTAAGTAACATCTTATCTGGCTTATCTGATACATTTTCAAGTAACTGTTTTCAGGATTTCTAAGGGAGTGTCCCCTGCACATGATAAAAGACCTTGCAAAACTGCCTTCCAGTCCTCCTTCAGGTCTCCTCTTGAAACAGTGCTGTGCTGTCTTTGGAAGTTTTTGCAAAATTTAAGCTGTTAGTTTGCAAGGACTGTGGCCCAGCAACCTCTCCAGCATGGTATAATTTCCTGCATCCCTTGGGTCCACATGAGCTACAGTGTCTTTGGACAAGAGTGGACTTTGTGTACTATCCAGCACAAGATGCAATAAGTTACAGCATTGCAAAGAATAATGATCGTGGCAATAACAATAGACCATCTAGGCATGTGTATAAATAACATATAATTAGCAAGAGATGATGGTAAATGGCACTTGATGTTACTGAGGTACCTATTCCTCTCCATTTCTGACTTTTAACTAAATTCATAATGCTGCATAATAGCACATCAGTACTAACAGAGGGATCATCATCTGTGTTCTAGGCATATCGTTTTGAGAAGAAATATACAAACATATATTTTTAGTCTTTTGGTGGGGCAAATACTTTTCCATCAGTCACTCTCTAGAAAGCAAATTCACTCAGTCGTTTTAGCTGATCAACAATTTTGTATTTCTCTCTTGTAGGAAGTTTGCGGTATCTACAAAAATTCCTGACACTAAATGGTGTCAAAAGTGTTGTGTTGGTAAGTAAAGGTCTGGGGAGTAAGTGTGAAGAAGCAATACAAATGGTGCTAGTATTAAGGTTACTGAGTCAGGTTTAGGAGGTAAAGGGATAAGAGCCTTTTATTATGAAACTGTGCATTTGCAGACAGTGACCTTGTTCAGGTTAGTCCTTGTGTTTAAGCAGTGTAAACTTTTCAATTTAGCTCTTTATATTTAAAGACAATTCTTAAGAAATGCAGAGAAGCAAAATGCATGTCAGAATTAAAACCAGTCCTCAGGAAGAACCTAACCTCCATGGGTGGAGTGACTTAGAGAATTTTCCATCGGGATTAAGCCACCTGACATCCTAGCACAAGTTTTGGTTATTAGTATTGGATGATAAAAAGCAAGGAGTATTTTCAGTTCTTTGAGGACAGTGTTCTCTGAAGCCTTTATAATGTGTTCAGTAATGTGACAGCTACTGAAGTCTCAAATCTGCACTATGTTGTGTTTTAAAAGTGGAGCAGATAGATTTAAAAATTTTTAAAAAAAGGCAAAATAGGAAAGGTAACTATAGATGATCTCTTGGGTTCAAGCTCTTGTCCCTGGAAAAGCTTTACCTGGTATTCCATAATCACGTGTTTGGTGTGAGGAGTTCTATTATACAGGAGGCTTTCAGAGACTTGGTGCTAAGTGAACATCTGTCATGTATCCTGACAAATATCTCTTGAGATTGCTAAAACATTTGATGTATATTGCCACCTCTCTGTCCAGCTCACCTGTCATAACTTGAATTTTTTGGAGATATAAATTCTCTAGGGTATGGTAGAGTGTTAATGATATGTACTGTGTATGTCCAGGCCGAGCTCTAATTGAGACATCTCATCAAGCTGTGAGTGTTAATGGATGCTGAAGGGAGCACCCAAAGGGGTGGAGTGGCAGGGATCAGAGTACATATGAAACTTGCTTCCTGACATGAAAATTAATTTGGAACCCACTATGTTTCCAGGTCACTGTTTATAAAATGAGAGACTTAGTGGTGTGCTCCTCTGTGATCTTGTGATTTTGGTCCTGTCAGGCACAGAATTTAACAAGGGTATCATGGTAGTTGACATTATGAGGGGGAGTCTTGACCTTCAGAGATAGCTTAGCCTCATAAGCCTCCTTGCATGATAGATGTTAGTCATAACAAGACTTTTGCAAGAGCGGCTGCAAAAGGCATGTCCAAAGGGAGGAACAACAGCTTCCCATCTGCTGTGCTACTT